TTAAATGCTGGAGCACCGCGTCTTGCACCTCTGGCGTGTAGTGCTTCTCTTGGGCCAGGCGACACACCTTCTGCCGGATAAACACATCTACTGCTGCAGCTACCGACTCGGCGTTCAACTCAAGGCTAAGCCTCATTTCGTGCTCAGCACGCTCCAGTTCTTCCTCAATATCTGGCCAGTTGCGACTAGACACGATCCACTTGACGCGAGAGGACGCAGACGAGTGCTTCGCGATAAAGCTGAGCAATTTTGGTAAGTCTGTCGCGCATTCGTCGAGCGCGTCAATAATTAGGCACGTTGTGCCTAGGCCTGCATCTTGCAGCACGTCGGCGAAGATTTCCGTTAGGGCGACCCAGGCATTCGCGTCCTCGAATAAGCTTTTGCCAGCGTGGTCGTGCTTCTTGCGAACGTGCGATGCAAGTGACGGCTGCCGGTGCACAAGCATGTATAGCAAGCCTCGCAGCACAGCCGTGGCACTATTAATGCGCGTGTCGGTCGCTTGGCAGAAAAAGTATGAAAAAAGGGTAGGTTTCGGCGTCAAGTTTTGCAGTTCGTCGATAATGCCACACAGCAGCATCGTCTTGCCTTTGCCAGGATCACCTTTCACCCACAGTAGTCGGCTCTCTGGGTCTTGCTGCCACTGCTGGAAGGTATTGTTGTCAAGGACCCAGCGGTAAGCGCCCGCAAGTAGCCCGCCTTTAGTCTCCTCAATCCGCTTCTTGTCATCGCGCGGGTTGCTAGGACACAAGTCTTGGAGGCACTTGTTCTGCTTGTCAACCTCGTCTAGAACCCGCTTCATTGCTTCAGCTAGATTCTCGTCATCGATCGGGGACAAGCTGACGCCGAGAATACCCATCAGGGAATATGCACGGTCTGCTGGAATCGTTGTAGTGCGATGTTCAATCCAGGTAACGCGTTCATGAACACTAAAGTTAGACAGCGGTTCACCCTGCAGCGCTGGACTAGAGATGCCTGTAACTTCACACACTTCTTTTGCTAGCGACAGCTTATCGCCAAGCTTGGTCCCTTCTTTAGAGAAGAACTCTACTATAGACGGTGCGAGAAGCTCCTGCAGTGTCCATCCACGGGTAAACCATCTGCTATTTTTGAGCGCAAGCTTAGCCTTCTGCTTGCTTTGTATAAGATCGCTACCGACCGAAGTGCATAGAACGTCGCGCGAATAGAAGTAGCGCTGCATCGTGCTGCCGTACCATCTGGACATAGTATAGAGAATGGAGAGTACCCAGATCCAAAAAAGCCATCGTGAATCGTTGTGGCTTGACGTCAGTGGTAGAGGTTGATCAGAGACATCCGATAGATACACATAACACCGAGCTGCATCGCGGTACCAGCGAAACATCGATCGGATGGAGAAGGCAAGTTCAGCCTTGTTGGCC